GTTGTATACTGGCTCCTAAATGCTTTGTCCTGGAGATGAAACTCACCACTCATTGCCTGTTGGCCAGAACTGGTCACATAGCCCTGCAGTGGGGCAGGAAATATGAGGGACCCTTGGATAGATAGATGGTAGATGGTAACTGTCTCTGCTGTAGTCACTAAGGACGCCCACATTGCTAAATCCAACAGTCAGTTTTCAGTCCTCATCTTCTTGGGTCCACGTGCAACATCTGACCCAGCTGATGTACCTGTTCTGCTTGACACACTCTCTTCATTCGGTTTCTGGGACAACACACTGGAGTAGGTTTGCCTTTTACCCCAGTGTTTACTCTTTCTCAGCCTTCTTATGCTGTGGGGATTATAATTTAGTGAACACCTACTATGTTCCAGTTGTTACCAATCTCATTTGATGGCACAGTACTTATTGCTGTAGGTATTAGTATTCCTGCTATTGTATAGATTACGAACCTTTCCCCAGTTCACACAGCTAGAAATGGCAGAGAAAGATTTCTGGACTGTCTTGTTTTGTTTTCCCACTAAGGGATTGAATCCGGTCACTGTAATCAATCTGAAAAGGCTCTAGAAGTCTCTTGTTCTCTTGCCCTTTCAAAGAAGTGCTCCCAAGCCTTGGGCAGGATTTCTTGTTCCTACTCATCTTCTTCATAAAGCCCAGAGCTGTCAACAGCCACAACGAACACACCCCACACATGCCCCCCACACATCACGCACAGCAGACGCATACCACACACACTACTATATGCACTTCACACACACCACACACACCATGTCCACACAACACACACCATACACATACAACACACACACTGCACAACACATCACACACACACCATACACAACACCCGCCACACCCCTACAATACCCCCACCACACACACAATACACACCCACACATAAAACACACATGCAAAATACACACACACATCCCACGCACACCATCTAGGCTCGGAATAATCCTCAGCTATGTCCCTTAGAAGAGCACCCTCTCTATACTCCAAAGTACCTACGTGCTTCCTGGGCTTCTGGACCCCTGGGTTTCCAGGCAGCCTCCCGCTGTCTCAGCTGGTGGAGGTCCACACGCAAATGCCAGGCTCTGCAGCTCCATATGCTGTGACCCCTCCTTGGGGACCAGACACAGGCATTCCCATCCAGGGCTTCCAATTTTCCTAGAATATATTTAACCTGATGCAGGGGACAGCACATGTATTTCAACTACTCCTGTTCTCAGCATTTTTTTGGAATTCCTTTTGTGGATATGTTTTCAGAACCAGTTTGTGGGGCATACCAAATCACTCTGTAGTCATTCTTGTATCAGTTAGAAAAATGTTTGGCTGCAAGCAGCATAAAACCCACTGTAGTGGCTTAAGCAAATAAGGTGCTAGTTTTTCTTCCACAACGAAAACTCTGGAGGTCGGTGGCCCAGGGCTAGTGTAGCTTTGAATAATGTCCTCGCAGGCCCAGACTCCCGTCGTGCCTCTGCTCTGCCCTCCTCAGTGTGCTGGCTTTCACCCTGCGCCTGCGCCTGGGGATTGCAAGGTGGCTTCGTGGGTATGTCCGGGTAGTGGGCTGTCCGGTGGGAGGAAGGGGGAAAGAAATGGGCAAAAACGACCGTGCCAGCAAGGTCTGCCCTGTTTCGCCAGGAAATCCACAGCTTTCCTCAAATCCCTCCTGAGCAGGCCTCTGCTCGAAGCTCACGGTGAGGACTAACCCTGGCTAGAAGCCCTGGCTAGAAGGTGGCTGGGCGGGAGGGACCTGCCCGTCGAGAGATTTCCCGGCTTTTTGGTTTACCTCATGCACCGCCAAGCTTGGGTCCGGAAGCCTCTTGACTGCCTTTGGAAATTAAAACTATGCTCAAAAATCAAAGCCGTGTTCCCACCGAGAAGAGTCCAAAGAATGTGCCACAGGCTTCAAGGCAGGTCCCCCAAACAAGTTTCTGAAATGTTTTGAACAACAGAGTGAATGTCTGTCCTCCCAAGAGGATCCCTTGAAGGGGAACACACTCATCTGGACGCATTCCTTGGAAAATACGTCCTTGTCATGACAGTCTGTTCACACCTTAGCCATAACCGGCAAGGACCCCCAAATCCACACGCCCACGGCGTCTCCTCAGAGCCTCTGTGCGTGCTGCCAAAGCTGGGCGGACCCTGTGAAATGTCGGGAGTGTGGCAGGTGAAGAGAAGATTAAACTGTCCTCCAGCTGGGCGGCCCCATTTGATGTTAGCAACGGAGGGACGTTTGTTGCTGTGCCTTGAATTGCAGTGTCTCTAGGGAGGGCTCCTGGCAGCCGCTCGCGCTGGAGCAGGACCACTCGCATCAGAAGGGGGCCGGCCTCGCCCGGTAATGCGGCTCTCGTGGCTGCCCTGATCTCTCTGAGAAGCCACCCTGTCCACGACCTGGAGGACTGTGCTTGTACCACGGCTGTCACCCTCTGCCCGATGTTGGTGGGAGGGACTCTGCCAGGTTCAAGGAACAGCCCTGTCGGACTCCATCTCCCCCACACCTGGGAGATTCAGGGACACGTATGTATAAGGTGCCGTTGGGGATTTCCGGAAGAACAAAATATGATTCGTCGATTCCTTAGGTTATTGGCAGATTTGTTTTTTTTCATCAAACATTCCGTGAGCTCCTCCATGTCAGCCACCTGCTGGGGATGGCAAGTGCGTGATCCGAGTGCCCGCTCTGCGGGCGGAGATCAGAGGCGGACGGGGAGAGACAAGCAGATGCCATCAAGTGCTGGGAGCTCCGAGGAGGGGCCGGGGCTGGTGAGGCTGTCCGGGCAGGGCCACGGAAAGCGTCGCCGAGGAGCCGATGCGCGAACGGAGTTTTGAGGCCAGTCTGGCAACTGCGATAGGAGGCAGCTTGTTTTAAGTGTGCAGGAGAAGTGTAAATAATGTGTTTAGGGCGCACATGCGCAAAGAAGCAACTTCTGGCGGGAGGGTGGCAGGCATTGGGGAAGGCTTCATGGAGAAGGGGGAGATTTAGCTGGTGAAGTTGTAGCGAGGGCTTTGCAAGCAGAGGGAGCAAATGAGAAAAACCACAACAGTGAGAAAGGCCAGGTGTGTTCTGTGCATACCCAGGTTTGGTGGGGAGATGAGATTCGTGGTGGGAGTTTGGTGGGAGAGAGACTAGAGAAGTAGGTGGGAGTCGTGTCGCGAAGGGTCTCAGTGCCCCGTTAGGAGGTTTTATTTTCTTTGTAAGCAATGGGGGACACTTGGGCTTTTGAACAGAGGAACGTCATGATCACAGGGGTTCATAGGGAGAAAACTGGGTTGAGAGGAGCTGGGTGGGAGGAGGAAACTGTGTTATTTTATTCGCTTTTTGCAATTTGCCTTTGAGTGAGATCCTGCCATGCTTGAGGCTTCTGTGGTGAGAAGCAACATGACCCCTGCCTGCCCATCCACAGCAACTGTCCCCCTTGGCCGCCGCCCTAGTCTCACCTGGGAGCCCTGTTGCCATCAGGAGGACGGTGTTTGTCAATGGGACGGGGCCTGGACAGAGAGCGAGTTGGAAGCAGGTCACCGCCTGCATCAGAAAAGGTTTTTAAAAAGTAAATTGTGTGTGTGTGTGTGTGTGTGTGTGTGTGTGTGAGAGAGAGAGAGAGGGAGAGAGAGGGAGGAATTAATCTGAGACCAAATCGTGAACCTCTTTGTTGAGAAAGACCCAGGCAGGCAGGGGCCAGCGCTTTCCGGCACGGCCTGGGGATGAAGCAGGTGCGGGGTCCGGGTCACAGTTTCTGCCTCCTCGCTCGGGCAGCCTGAGTCTGAGAAGACCACAGTGTGTTCGCACCTGGAATGTGGATGCAGCTGTGGCCACAGTGTTCAGAGAAAACACAGAGTTAGACGAGGTCCTCAGATGGTCTCTAAGAGGTTGCAGGGCCTTCCATCTGAAGACACATTGAAAAGCTTCGGGTTTGTCGCATGGAAAAGACGAAGGCTGAGACACACAGGCAGGGTTCTAGAGCCACTCGGACTGAGGAGTAGGAGAAGCAGGGACTTGTTCACCAAGCCCTGGGCTCCTGGAGCTGGGATCTGCGGGCAGGCTGGGAAGAGGCAGTGTGGGCAGCAGGATGAATTCCTCCCCACGATGAGAGCACAGTCAGGGACAGTGAGACCGCGGAGGTTCGTGTGGGATAAGCAGGTAAGAGGATGTGAGGAAAGTCACGTCACTTCGAAGATGGTAGCTCCACCACTGGGTGTTCAGGCGACCAAGCAGTGTCCGGCGCCTGTGCTTTAGTACTTTGAAGTCGACACCATGAGGGACGACGCCGCCGTCCCCGGAGGCGCCACTCAGCGGCATCCGGTGGGAGGCCCCTCGCACAGAAAGGGGTTTTCTGTTTTCTTTTGCATTTACTTGAATCTCTAAAGTGACCAACATCAAGCCTCAGGATTTTTAAGCTTTCTTGGCTTTTATTTCCTCTGCATCAAATTCCGATGATTTAATACTAATCTCAGGAGCGTAATAAGCAATGAGGCAGCCAGGCTCCCCTGGCGAACTCCGAAATGTAAAAGGGCGAGGCCCTAGAAAGGCCATATGGAGCCAAAACACACGCACACACGCACACACACACTCTCTTACATGCACACGTTGCGTGTCCGCTGAATGGCTGCACTGTCTCCTCCAACCACATTTGTCAGAGTTGCTAATAAGGGGCCAAGGGAACAAGGGGACTCACTTTTGTTTCTTTTTTCTTTCTTTCTTAACATTTTCCACTCCACTGGTTGAGTGCCTAGGAGATAGGAAATGGTCAGCAGTTGGGCAGGGGCAGGATGGGAGCATTTCCACCCCCCAGTAAACAACTGCCAGTGAGGGGAGGAGCTGACGCCGCCGCGGGTGCGTTTCTGACGCTGGAGGAAGAGAGTCTTCCTGCTGACTTGGAGGGGAGGGGGGACATGGACTCTGGACTGGATGAGACAGGGAGGCCCCGAGAAGGCAGGAGCCCTGCACGCCTGGCCTGACCAGTCTGTGTCCCCGTGACACTGTGCAGGTGACTGCTGGCTCCTGGCGGCCATCGCCTCCCTGACCCTGAATGAAGAGCTGCTTTACCGGGTGGTCCCCAGGGACCAGAACTTCCAGCAGGACTACGCGGGAATCTTTCACTTTCAGGTATTGTGCGTTGCTCACGGCCTTTGTCACTACTTTCCACACTCTCGGGTCCCAGCTCAGACCTACTGCATGTTTTGTCAATCCTGCAAGTGGTTTTGATGCACACTCAAGTCTGGGAACCACTGCCTCCATGCAGCCCTCCAGCCATGCACACATCTGCCCCCTTCCATCTCCCTAGGCCGTGTGGCCTTGAGGAAGGCACACTGGACTATGGGTAGGAGGTACGGGTCCAAATTGCCCACTGCTGCCACTGGTGATGCTGGGCAAGGTCTCTTATCCACAAACTCAGAGACTGGACCAGACATTTCCTGGCTCACCCAGTGTCTCCCAGGCACACAGATAAGTGAGACGCAGAGCCTGCTCTTATGGAGCTGGGAGTGGTGGCACGGAGTCCCCATGTGAGGCCCCCTGCAGAGACCCCTGCCCCTCTGCTTATTCGTGCGGGCAGCCACCGTGTTCCCCCCCCCCAGTTCTGGCAGTACGGACAGTGGGTGGAGGTGGTCGTTGACGACAGGCTGCCCACCAAGAACGGACAGCTGCTCTTCCTACACTCCGAAGAAGGCAACGAGTTCTGGAGCGCGCTGCTGGAGAAGGCCTATGCCAAGTAGGTGGGGCCGCCAGGGGCAGGAGACTCCAGAGCCTCCCCGAAGGCTCTCAGCTGCCGCCTCCCACACCTGCCTGCCCATCCCAAACGTGGGTGCCAAGTCTCTCCCACACCTAGGCCCCACGGGCTGGGGCCGGAGCATCCCCCCTCCGTAACTAAGAGAAACAGAGATTTGGGCTGGGAGCTCAGATCTCGGCCGTGCCCCACGTGGACTCGTGCTGGTGGACGCGCCCCCTCCCCTCCGCACCTCGGCTTGTTCCTCTGCCAGACCCAAGGCAAGTTTTAGGGTGATGTGATTTTTTAAAAGAATGATAAATAGTAATAAAACAAATGTACTTAGATACCAGATCAACGAAGTTTCTACCCCTTCCTCAGGAATTCTTCTCGGGGGTTCTTTAATAGTTTTGGTCACTGATACCCTCTTCTGCAACCTGGTTGCTTTCAGTCCTGTTCCCAAAGCAGACGCCTCACCGCCTTGAGGGAGGGGCCCCTCCCCCTCGCTGTGCGCAGACCCCAGAACCCCAAGCAGCGGGCGTCAGCTCTGGGAGGGTTGCCGCGGCTTTGTGAAGGCGCAGGCGGCTTGGAGAGCGGTTGTCTGGGGTCTTTTGCTAGTGAGGTGCTGAGCTGGCCATATGACACAGTGGCCCAAGCACCTTCCTGGCCCACAGGCAGCACTGGCAAGGGGCCCTTCCTCACCTTCCAGCGGCACCCCTGTCCCCAGCCCCTGTGCTCCCCTCGCTGGGTGTTTCCTTTCTTTTCCAACAGGCTCAACGGTTCCTATGAGGCTCTTGCTGGAGGGTCCACAGTGGAGGGGTTTGAGGATTTCACAGGTGGCATCTCTGAGTTTTACGACCTGAAGAAGCCGCCAGCCAGTCTGTATCAGATCATCCGGAAGGCCCTCCGTGCGGGGTCACTGCTGGGCTGCTCCATTGATGTGAGCAGGCGGCTTCTCTGTTCCCGCACCCCGTGCGTGGTCGGGAATGGGTGGGACAGCTGGAGCGGCGTGGGAAGGATTTGGGCTGGAGCCCAGCCTGGGACTTAGTGGACAGTCTGGCCACACAGTGGTCCACAGCAGGCAGGGGCTGGTTAAGGCCTAGTTAGTAGACAGGAACTGGGGTCAGTCCCGTTGTAGGATCCCCAGTGCCCCCCAACTGTTAGAGCCCCCCTAGCACTGCTGGAATCACCCTGATGACATGGTCTTGATCCCCGGATCCCAGGCCCTGCCTTTACCACTTCCTTTTTGCTAAACAATCTCGAGCTTTTGCTAAATGGTCATCAACAAATATGATGCTTGACAATGCTTGACGGACTTTGAAGAAAAGGGAAGGGGTCCTGAAACCAGGGATCATGGCCTGACGGGAGGGTTGGCTGCATGGAGTTCCAGGGTGGCTGTGGAGACTGGAGGCTGGAGGCCACTGCCCTGAGGTCCCGTCACTGCCTGTCCATGGCTGCTCTGCCCTTGCTGGGTGACCTCAGACGTGCGGACCGCAAAGCAAGAATAGTCTCCCTTTCTCCTCTCTGCAAAACCCCAGTGGGAGATGCGTGTTTCTGGTGGGCGGTGATATGGAGCGTGGGACGGGGGATGCTGGGGGAAGAAGAAGGACGACCGGGAAGCCCGCTCAGTGTAGACACCGGAGGACCAGGACTTGCGCAGAGCCAGTGCCACCAATAGTCTTCAGGCAGCATGGGGTCACTCTTGGAGAATAAATGACTTTCTTGGTGGCATTTTGGAGGCTGATAAGTCATATTCCAGGCTTGGCAGCCACACAGCACCTGCCGGGAACTGCAAGGGTTAGGTGGAGATGGCTCTATTTACCTGAGGTTCACGGCTGCGCCTGCACCTCTAGTCCGGCACTGGGGCCCCCATGGCCTGTGGAGTGTGTTCTTGAAAAGCGCTGCAGGGCTGGCCCCAAAGAGGCAGGGTCAGCCACCCTGAGTGGACGTTCTCCTCCACCCAGGTCTCCAGTGCAGCCGAAGCAGAAGCCATCACCAGCCAGAAGCTGGTTAAGAGTCATGCATACTCTGTCACTGGAGTTGAAGAGGTAAAATTGGACGGGAGGAGGGAAGGTAACATGGAATATTAGTTCCGGAAATCCAGGGCATCCCTGAGAGAAGGAGAGAGGCGATCGCTACTCAGAGGTTCACAACTGGCTTTGGAGCTTCCCGGCCCTCCCAGGCTGCAGTCTGTCCCTGTCTGCACAGAGCCCGCCACCACAGCTGTGCAGTTGGCGCTCGCTCGTTAGAAGGGCCCCTCTGACTCTCACCCACTTGGAGGTGGAGGACTGGACTTCCCTGAGCTCTATGGGCTCTAACGAAATGCAGCCTCTCGTCTCAGGCGTGGCCAAGAAAGCTGTAGAGACTGTCAGTTAGATTCTGCACACTTCCAAAAAGTATGTTTGTGTAGGTCACACAGTAGAAACCCATAGGATTCCCAAGAGGAAAACAGGGCAGTAGTGCCTGTCCCCACCTTCAGGGTGGGGCATAACCACGCGAAGGCTGGCAGGTACTCCTCGCTCTCCGACCCAAGGAGAAAGCATGGGCTATCATTTCTATTAGTTTAGTTCCTATATTCTGCTTACTTCCAAAAAGAATTTGAGGTGTTTTATAATTAAAAGCATATACATGGCTAGGGACCGTGGCTCATACCCATAATCCCAGTGCTTTGGGAGGCTGAGATGGGAGGATTACTTGAGGCCAGGAGTTTGAAATCAGCCTGGGCACCATAGCATGACCCCGTCTCTACAAAAAATAAAAAATTAGCCAGGCATGGTGGTGTGTGCCTGTAGTCCCAGCTACTCAGGAGGAGGAAGACGGAGGATCGCTTGAGCTCAGGATTCAAGGTTACAGAGAGCTATGACCGCACCACTGCACTCCAGCATGGGTGACAGAGTAAGACCTTGTCTCTAAAAAAAAATAATAAAAAACAAATAAATTTTTTAAAAAAGCACAAACACAATAAAACTATACAACTAAAGTAAAATACATACATCAAACTAGAGACAGTACTACATTTGGGAAAGTAATTTTGCTTTGGGCTTCCCAATGGCCAAGGCAAAAAGGGAAATGCAGTGGAGGTCCTAGCCCATAAATAGCCCTGTTATTTATTAAAACGGCATGGATGCTGATTACCTGTGTTTGTGTTTCACAAACATGCCCTTTAATCAAGTCAATCTTATAAATACGAATTATACATGTATGTGTAAACGTTGGGCTAGGGCATGTTGCGGGATACAAAGGAAATTAAACAGCCCACACACAGTTTGTGTGTGCATATGCGAATGCAAGCCTCTGTGCAGGGGTGCACGTGGCTCATGCTTGAGTGTTCAATGTGTGTGTGGATTTATGAGTACGGGCCTGGGAGGCAGACTGCCTAGGTTCCCATCTTGCATCTATCATGTACTAACTACGTAATCTTCGAGAACATAACTTCTCTAAGTCTCAGATTTTTGGGCTGTAAAATGAAGATAATAACAGTACCCAGCTCACAGGATTGTGGTGAGGTTTAAATGAGGCAATAATGAATTTGAAATGCTTAGCATAGCGCCCAGTCCATAGATCATGCTCAATACATGTTAACTGCTGTGCTATTGGTGTGTTTGAAGGATGTTTATTATCATTAGGACTCACATATTAAGAATGAAGTCAATCTTAGTCAACTTCAAAATCTAAATCCCTGTTAAAGCAGACATAAACTTGTTTTTGTGCTAGACTCTCTCTTTATTGTATTCAGACAAATTATGAAAAATAGATCTGTTGGCCAAATTCTAAAAACGTACATAAAAATAAAATGAAAGTGTGGTCGTTTCCGGACGTTTGAAAAATTTAATGCGAATCATCTCAGATGCAGACGTGAAAGGGAGGCAGCAGAGGGTAGTAAGTCAGTCACCTGCTTTTCCGTGTGTGCAACTTGCAGGTGGATCTCCGTGGCCGTCCAGAGAAGCTGATCCGACTCAGGAACCCGTGGGGCGAAGTGGAGTGGTCGGGAGCCTGGAGCGATGAGTAGGTTCTTCCCCAGTCCCGCCTCCCTCCGCGAAGGTGTCACGTAAAACGCACAGTGATGAGACTGATGTCACAGTGCGTTCAGCAGCACTTACTGTCCACAAATCACACAGCCTGTTCAGAAAAGAATGTTAATTGATTCCAGGCTGGGAAAAGCAAACTAAAAACCACCGAGCTGTGGTCTTTGATTCTGGCTTTCTGCTTTGGCATTTGAAAGTTTGGCAGCTCCATCGAATTTTGCTTAGCGCTGATGGGTTTTTGTATTTTCTACCTTCCATGCTGTGGGGGTCCAAAGGTCAAATTGATCACTCACAATCTGGTTCTTTCCACTCTGCAAACACTGGTCACCCTGACAAAGGCCAAACCTCTCAGCACCAAGAGGAGAGGATGATGCTGAGAAAATGGAATTTGAGCCCAGCAGCAGTGATGAGCAGGGTGGCACTGGCTCCTGCAGGGGCCGGTACTGACTGCTGACCGGGGCAGGCCTCTCTGCTGGTGCAGGGAAGCTGGGCAGGCGTGGTGGGGTCCCAGGACAGCTGTGTCCTGGAATCCACGTCCCCAGGGTGCAGGAGGATGGGGAAAGCACAGGGTGGTTTCTGCCCAGTTAGCACAGCTGGAGTGCAGGAGGCAGATTGGTGCTCGGGAATGAATTAGAATTTGCTAGTCTATTGAGGAAGAGCCACTAGAAATGGAAATGGTCATGATAATTACCCCTCCCCAAACATCCTTAATCCTCGAGGGTTGTCCATATTCTGTGATGCCACCAGGGCTTTTGAAGGGAACTTCACCACGTTCAATCAGCATCGTCACTGCTCGTTACTGCTCAGAGCTGCAGCAGTTTCCTTCAGGTTTGTGTCACAAAGAAACGTGTGACCCTAGGGCCGTGGATGGGCCTCCTGTAGGAAGGGTTTTTCATGCCACTGCCTAAGATTGAGCAAAACCCAAAACCTTGACTCCACCAGCTGTCCTACAAGGGTGACATGGCTACATGAAATTGAAGCCCCGAGTTTGGGCTTTTCTCACCAACAGCTGTTACCAACTGCCAAAAAGGCTTGCATGACTTTGTCTCCTTTCCCTGAGCTGCCCTGTCTCTAAGGGACTGGGAAAGGCCCAAGGGTCAGAGGTGGTGACCTCCAAGGCCTGGGGCCACCAGTTGGAGGGGCAGCCTGGGCTGTTTGTATACCAGCTGTCGGAGAAGGAGGACGCCGCGTCTCTGCGGTGACACTGCTAATCTCAGCCCAATGTTTAGCAAGGTTTTACTTTCTTAAGTTTAAAAAAAATAAACAACTGGGAGATTAGGCCAGATCTAGAATTCTCCAACGTGTGCCCTAATTTTTGTTTGTAACAAGTACATTCTGAGATTTGGTTCTGAGCACATTACTGTTTCAATGAATTAAAGTAGCCCAGGGACTCTTGTTCTGCTCCCCGGGGCCCTGGGAGCCCAGCGTTGAGGGGCAGGCTGGGCCGGGCGTGCCTGGCTTTTGTGCTGGGGAGGGGAGGTATTGGGGTTTGCTGAAAGTATTCAGGGAAGGGAATTTTTTCATCTTTGAAGATGGATCTCGATACTGCTCAGTTATTTGGACGTGTCGTACAGGTTTCAGGAAAACCTAACTCTGTAAAGGTCAGGCAGCTGGAGATGGCATTTGAACAAAGTGTGTGAATGTTGCCAGGGAAAGGCCACCAGCACGAGGCCTCTCGGGGTGATGTTACTTCAGGGAAATTGCCATCAGCTGGGCCTGGTGGTGATTCTTGCAGGCTCTGGGAGTGGACCATGTCCATGTGCCCAGAGCTGGTCAGACTCTTTCACGCTATGCTCACCCCAGACTGACGGACAAGCCAGAATGACAACTTTCTAATTGGTACCGGAGCACATGCCGTTTTTGTGACACGAACTCTTGAGTCTCCTTTCCTGGACTTCCCCGTTCCTGCGATCAGGCGCCTGGGGGTCTCAGTGAGAAATGTGAAACTTGCCTAGAGACTGGAAATTAGAGCAAGGCCGAAATGTTCCTGCTGCAGCGTGTCTGGGGCAACTCTGAGGTGCCCATGGCCCCTGTGTCCCCGGTCTGCGTCCCCTTCCCAGACGGTACCCCCCACACCGTCTGCCCTGCTTTGGACCCAGGTGTTTTTGGTATTCCACTGCTGGCCCTTGGGGAGAAGTTTAGCTGCAGTAAACGGCTTGTGCCTCAGTAGAACCCCTCAGGAACGACCACCTCTGTTTTGTACCCACAGTGCACCAGAGTGGAATGACATAGATCCCAGGAAGAAGGAAGAGCTGGACAAGAAAGCTGAGGACGGAGAGTTCTGGTGAGAGGGCCCTGCCGCGGATCCATGCGCATGGTTACGGGTCCATGTCCAGTTCTGACGGGCCGCAGCCAGTCGCCATGTCTTCCAGGAATGCGACATGGTTCCTGGCTATGGGGCGTCCGTTCTTCTCCCTCTTTTGTCCTAGCATAGTTCTGCCTCTACACCAGCGTGTCTAAAGCACTGAACCCAAGACACCCGGGCCCTGCGTGTGGCTTAGTTGCCAGCCTGTCTTTCTCAGTTTCTATCATCTTTCCAATGAACGCAGAGCACCGCTTCTATCTCTTTAAGCTGACTTAGCTTACCACCAATCCGGGATAACTTCCTTCGCTGGTGCGCTCAGGAAGACAATGAAAATACCCCCTGAATATGGTTCGGCTTAGCCGGACATCACTGAGAATTAAAGAGAAAGAAACCTCTTGTGGGCTTAGGCTTAACTCGCCCTAGAGGCAGAAGCTCTGTTCAGATGGCCTCCTGGGGCGGGTGAGATACGTGTGGGATATCGTCCCCGCAGGAACAGAGGCTGACGACTGCACGGACTGCGGACGGCAGCATGTACATTGGTGTCAGTGGGCTGTAGAAGACTGAGCTGGCCAGGCCCCCAGGGCCGCCATCAGTTTCTCCCTGCGCCCGGTGGGCATGGGTTCCATCACCTTTCCAGCCAGCCCGGCTCCACTCACCGAGAGCCCTCTCGTTCCTCTGCCCCTAGGATGTCATTTTCAGATTTCTTAAAGCAGTTCTCTCGGCTGGAGATCTGCAACCTGTCCCCGGACTCTCTGAGCAGTGAAGAGGTGCACAAATGGAACCTGGTCCTGTTCAACGGCCGCTGGACTCGGGGCTCCACCGCTGGTGGCTGCCAGAACTACCCAGGTAGGGTGAAGTGCTGCCCGGGCCCAACCTCCTTCTGGCTTGTCCTCTCGGAGCTGGGTGACTACATGCTTCGTCTCTGGACAAAGCCTTTGTTCTTCGGCTCCCGGGCACCCCCTGGAGGCCCTGCTTGTCCCCAGGGCTTGGAGCTCCGGCACAGCAAGGGTGGGCAGTGGCTCTGTGGGCGCTCCTGAGGCCCCATGTCAGCTTCTGTGTGTTCACACTGTCCCTGCTTCACCCACCTTCCTCTCGCCCCAGAGGACCTGCTTCTTCCTATTAACCCTGTGCTTGTCGCTCTACACCAAGGCTCCTGTCCTTCTCTTGGGCTTCCGCCATCCCCACCGCTGACACCATCCCGCTGAGCTCTGGGACACAGCAGCCAGTGGCTAATGGCGCGCTGGAGGAACGTGGGTGCCGCGTCTGCTGTTTCAGTAGGCTGCGTCCATCAGAGCCACCGCTGTGCTTTGTGTTTGTGCCTGAGTCAGAGGCGGAGGGGCGTAGACGGTGTGGGCCGGGGTGGCCACACGCAGGGCATGTGGGGGGACTCCCCTCTCCCGCAGGAGTCGCTGGGACTCAGGCCCTCCTGGGGAGAGGCTGGTGCAAACCACTGCCTCTCGCTACGCCTGGGTCCTCACGTTCCGAGAGGCGGGAGCTCCCGGCTCGCGAAAGTCACTAGCACATACGTGTGCAGGCACCTCCGAAGTTGAGTCAGCCTAGCCGGCGCCTGATGAGGAAACTCTGAAACACGACCCCACATCTCTAAGGAGAAACGAAGAAAAGCAAAACCCGCTCTCTCCACGTTCCACCTTCCCGGACCCCGCACCCTGCCCGGTTTGCTGTTAGTGCACTGACTGACTTAGACTGTAAGCGCATGGGCAGGGCCATGGCTCCCTGCTCAAGACGCAGCTCGCTGCAGGGCTGGCCCCGTGCTGCGGAAGCAGCGTTACAGTGAAATCCCCCCCTGGGTACAGTGCCGGGGCCTTGCCGAGGTCTCTCCTCTTTCATCCCCCTTGCAGCCCACAGCTCCCAGTCTGGCAGCTGTGACCAGCGTGCTGAGCAGAGAGGAAGGAGGGACATCCAAGTCCCCCTCCTGTTGCCTAGCTCGGCATTTGAGAGACCCTGGGAGGGGCGTTACCCTTCTCTGAGTTTCAGTTTTCCGATCCTCAAAATGGGATCATAATTCCTACCTTCCAGCCTCACTGGGACACAGTGAGCGTCGTAACACAGAGTGTGTAGGGAAGCGCTTTGTAAACTGGTGGCGTTCTACAAATGGGATGCATTATTTTTATGGCCCATTCTTTTCCTCCAGTACTGTTAAGGAGTAAACAAAAAATGTAGGGATCGCAGTAATGTTGCATTTGGGAGAAATTAAAATATGCTTACCATTAGCAAGCACTTAGAAAATGCGTAGGAAATTTGCACGGATCATTTTGGGAGCTCAGAACTGTAGGGGTGCCCAAGGTGGCCAAAGGCACCAAATTGGAAGCCCATCTGTGCCACCGACTGACTGTCAGCAAGAGATGAATTGCTCTTGTCCTTTGGTAATGATGTAAGTATAGAAGTTTATAGAATTTTCTCTGTGTCCTCTGGAATCTATAGACATTTGTCTTTAAAATCTGTACACTTATGTCCTAAATAAAAAATTTGGAGGCGGAGATCCTTGGAAGGTGGAATTGAATAAGTAATCTTACTATTAAGAAAAAGTAATGATCAATGGCTCTTGGTGACCTGTGAATGCCTTGTTATTTCAGCAAGTCAGACCGTTCTTTAAGGGCTGTAAGAGCCGCCCCCACCCTCTCCTGCTCCTTTTGCCCCCAGGGCACATCATCATTGGATTGTTGAGGCCCTAGTGTGGAGACACTTGTCAGGCCCGTCTTCTGCAATTGTGTTTTGCTGCTGGACTGTCATAGAGTTGCTGTGTGCCCTTGGATGATCCCTTTGACCTCTCTGTGCTGTGTAGTGTGTAGTCACTAGATTGAGAGATTTTTTTTTTTTTTTTTGAGACAGATTCTCACACTGTTGCCTGGGCTAGAGTGCTGTGACGTCAGCCTAGTTCACAGCAACCTCCAACTGCTGGGCTCAAGTGATCCTCCTGCCTCAGCCTCCCGAGTAGCTGGGACTACAAGCACGTGCCGTCATGCCCAGCTAATTTTTTCTATGTATATTTTTAGTTGCCCAGCTAATTTCTTTCTATTTTTTTTTTTAGTGGGGTCTCGCTCTTGCTCAGGCTGGTCTCGAACTCCTGAGCTCAAACTATCTGCCTGCCTTGGCCTCCCAGAGTGCTAGGATTAGATTGAGAGATTTTTTTCAAAGTCATCTTTGAAATGGAGTCTTTAAAAATAGCCATAGGTGGTGTGGCAGGAATGCTTCTTAATTGCCCGTTGTGATTCCTCATGCATTATTAAATGACTTTCTCTGGAAGGGCGTGTGTCTCATCAGTGGGCTGCGACCTGAAGCTGTCATACGAGGCCCCTGGGGGGATGGACAGCAGGTTAGTTCTCAGGGCCGCCTCGGGTTGCGCTCTGAAACTGGGGCCCTCTTGGAGAGAGGACATGTGCCAATAAGTTGGTAAGAGCCGCTGTCTTTCTATCTGTCGGCAGAGGCCTCTTTGGTAGCTCATCTCTTCCCGGACTTTGTCCTCATCTGTCCCGGGGACATGCTTTTGACCCGGGGATCTCCCTTCTTCCAGGAGTTGGGTTTGTCTTCACAGCCCAGGAGCTGAACGCGAGGAGATGTTCACTCTTTCCCCAGAAAGACGTGGGCGTGATTTCCCGGTGCAGCCCAGTGTGGCCCTGGGGTCACGGAGTCCTGGATATGCCTAGTCAAGCACGTCTGGGCTCCTGGTTGATAAAAGGGACAAGCGCAGACTTTCCAGATGCTATGGGATGTGTCTGCTTGTGTGTGTGGGGGAAGGGGTAGGAGATGCCCGCCCACCTGCATGGAACACTTCTGCGCTGCGTGCCAGGCACGGTTTGGACAGAGTTACGCTTTCACTGGGATGATCAAGTTCTTGCCTTTTGTTCTCTTCTCCCTGTCTCCTCACCGCCCATGTGGGGAACCGCCATCACCTGGGCGACTTCCAGCCACTTACTGGACCAACCCCCAGTTCAAAATCCATTTGGATGAGGCGGATGAAGACCAGGAGGACGGCGTTGGTGAACCCTGCTGTACGGTGCTGCTGGGCCTGATGCAGAAGAATCGCAGGCGGCAGAAGAGGATGGGCCAGGGCATGCTCAGCATCGGCTACGCCGTCTACCAGGTATCGCCCAGCTGCGTTCAACCTTCACTGTGCACTTAATGTCTTTGGGCTGAATATTCTGCCCAGTAATTAGAGTGTATTTTTCCTATTGCTTGATTATTGCTAATCGAGCATTGTCCTTGCTCCCCTAAATACCTCTCCCAGTGGCCTTACTGAGGCCTGAATTCCACACTTAGAGATTCATTTCTATGGCTTAAACCTCTGCTGTTAACACTGAGACGTGTAGTTCACTAAACTTCATCTGTTATTGAGGGCTCAGTGTACTGGTGCTCATTAGACTCTTTTTTGAGTATCAGCTTCTCAGGGGACAGGAGCTGAGAACATGCAGCATGAGGCACTTGAGGTGACATAGGCAGGAGAAGAGGATATGGCTGAATTGGGGAAGGAGGCTGGATATAGGAGCCAAAGACGAATGTGCGCTTTCTTCCACCCTGGGCAACCTTGAGGCACTTGTTAGAACACACAGGGTGTGGGCTGGGACGATGGAGGCCACATGGTCGTTTTCAGGGCTGGGGAACACAGCCGTGCCCTCAGGCTGCAGTCCTTGGCTTGGTGCGCCAGTTTGCCCCCAGAACCACCATCGGTAGGTCTAACAGCCTCACAGATATGTTAAAGCAAGATTTTTGGGTCTTGACAAGTCTAGCCAGGAACAAATTGGAATTTACTTTTTTATACAGAAAAAGACTCCTTATAATAAATTCCAGAGGGATTCGTGGTGGTTGCTTTTTATACAATTTTGTTAAAAATGAATTTCTTGGAAAAAATGTAATTCTAATCAGGAAGACCAAGAGCTGGCTGGAGGCCCAACATCTCAGCATAAATTAATATATGAAAAAGAAGTGTTATAACAAGAAAAGAGTAAGGAAAGGTACAGTTGTCAAGCTCATACCCCCCACCCCTACCCTTTAATTTCTCATGTTCTAGAACTTAGGGCTTTGCAGTTTAGGATGTATTTGTGTGTACGAGTGCATATGCGTGTGTATTCTATGTTGGAAGAACAGGAGTTGGAAAATAATTGCTACTTGGTGGTAGGAGAAAAGAATTGCAAATAAAAGTTCCAATTCTACTCCAGCTTAGCTCTTCCATCCCCACCTAGAATGTAAGTAGCACAAAACCAGGTTCTTTCCTTGCAGAGATAAAAACCTGATGAGACACTGTATTCATATCAATTCAACAAACTTTAATGAGCATCTGCTATGTGCTGGGTGCTGTGCTGAAAGCTATGCACAGGACACAGAGGAATATCACATGGTTACTGTCCTTAGGGTGCTTACAATCTGCAGTGGAATCAGACACACACTTGACTGAGGGCAGGGCAGGGCAGTCCTGCTGCGATGGGGACCAACACAGTGGGCAGTGGTCTCCTTAGCTTCACAGAGGAGGAGACTTTTGATCAGGGCTTCAAAAAATGAGCCAGATTTCAAAGGTAGGGAAGAGAGAACATTCTAGCCAGAAGCGGACTTCTTGATAGCTCAAAAGTAAGTGATGGTTTTGCAGAGCAGATATTAGGTGGGCATGGCTGCAGGGTGGGCTACTTGGGGACCACGGCCACCAGTTCTTCATCCATTGGGCCTACCTTAGATAACCAGATCAGCAAAGCATTCTTTCAAAGGACTGAAATAGCTTTGTGTGATGTGGCGTTTCTCTCATAAATAATGTAGAAATCATATCAATTTATCAGTCATCAGATTACAGTTATTTATAAAATACTCCAGTGTGTGTGATCCATGGTCCTTCTTCTTCTTCTTCTTCTTCCTTTTTTTTTTTTTTTTTTGATATAGGGGTCTTACTGTGTTGTCCAGGCTGATCTTTAACTCCTGGGCTCAAGTGATCCTCCTGCTTCAGCCTCCCAAGTATCTGGGACTACAAGCGAGGGCAACTGCACCTGGTTTGTGCTCCTTCTTCTTATGGCCAGAGTCACGTAATTTAGAGCATGACATCTGTGAACAGAAGAAGTTTTAAAGCTAGGTTAAGGGGATATAGGGAGTAGCTGATGTTGTAGGGAGTAGCTGGGGTTGTAGGGAGTAGCTGGGGTTGTAGGGAGGAAGTGCATGGCGTTATAGCAGGTATCCGGTGTTGTAGGGAGTAGCTGGGGCTGCAGGCAGGGGGTGTGCAGTTTGTAGGGGTACTATACTCTCACCCATGTATCTCTCACCTCTTGCTTTAACTGTTTATCTGAAACTGGAGTCTGGTTAGAGGTTGAAAACCTGCCACCGATTAAGAAGCAGCCAGGATCCCCTGAAGGCTAAAGAGCCCTCCTAGTCTAGCCTCTTCTCTCTCCCCTTTATCTTCCTGTGGTGACAATAGGCCCCTGCCAGGCCAGCTTGTCATTTGCTTTCAGGGTCCTGCATTTCAAAGACAGCTGTCCCTGTCCATGCATCAGTGGGCAGTGGTGACGGCCTGCTCTCCTGCCCCTGCTCTGGACTTGTGCCACCTGGCTGGGTTCCTGCCCGGTGACTCTTGGCAAGGTGGACTCAGGGCATGTTGACGGCAGTGGCTGCAGTGGCCGAGTCCTTGATGCGGTTAGGAAAGGCCCTGCCGAGGGTGGCAGAGGCTGCTAGGCCCACAGCCGAGACGGGATGCCTGCGAGGCCCCTGCTTTCCCAGGGCCGGGGCCTCGGCACGGGGGATTTTGGTTTCACACTCGAAATTAGAGGAGTGACCGTGACCCCGGACTCTTCTGCCCGCGATGCGCGGGGCTCCGGAAGTGAGATTCCCGGCTGATCCGAGTTTTCACTAATGTTTTGTTTCTCAGAGCTGTAGGCAGTTGGTCACACACCGAAGCCACAAACAAGGCCAGTCCTGCTCTTGTAGTCAGAAGAGCCTGCGTGGCAGGGACAAACAACACAAAGGACAGACTGGGCGTTCGAGTCCACTTCTCGAGCCTGGCACAGGCCCTGGCACGAGCGGGCTCCCGCCACGGTCCGACAGCCGGCCTCAGTGGGCGCCAGCGCCCCCAGCTGCAAGTCACAGCGCTTGGCTCCGGCTCGGCTGCTGAAAGAAGAGTTCACCAACTTCTGTCACCAAACCACAGAGGGAAGGGGTGCCTGGGACAAGGTCTTGGATGCTAACAGGACTTTGTCTCCACATCTCCTCTCTGTGTCGATGCCTCTGTGCTGGTCTAGATTCCGTCTCTCCCCGATACCACCCGCGTTAAGAAAGGGGCCCCTCCTTTTAGTTCCAATTCCAAAATCCCAGTGAAGTCGCTGATGGACTCAGCGGGGCTCATGCGCCCGTTCTTGGGCCACTCGCCACAGCCAAGGGCAGGACAAATGAAGGCTCAGGCCAGTGGGAGCCCTGCTCCCTTGACCTGGGAGGCCGAGTCTGTAAGTCCGTAAGAAGACGTTAGCTCTCACTGAAACCCAAGGTTATTCCTCCCGAAGAATGTGGGATCCTGGGAGATTGCACAACTAGAGAACGAAGTAGAACACTAGGACACTCCTGTCCCCTGATTTCTAGGGCTCCGTAGTCTGCAGATGGCCTTGAAATTCGTCAGTGACTTTCCAGTTTCAACAGTGCTGACGAGGTTCTCATTTTAGCGTGAACTTCCTCCCCGGCGGCCCGGGATTGCGCAGTCAGGATGTGGGGAGGGCCGTGGAGCGCTCAGACGACCTGCTCTTTCCTTCGCTCTCCAGGTCCCCAAGGAGGTACGTGAGCGCCGACAGCAACTCCTTCCTCTGGTGAGAAATAGCTGGGCTGCCTGTGGGATGGGCACCCAGCGGCACCTGCCTCCTGCGCCGGAAGCCGGTTCTCCCACACGCGCTCCCGTGATCCAGTCCTGAACCAGACCACGTGGCAGCCCCGGGAGTTGGTGAAGACCATCCCAAGTCCCATCTGTCAGGCCCCCCTGGAGGGAACAATGGTGACCTCTGACCCCCGTGTGCCTGGTGGTCTGAACAAGGCGATTCCAACGTGCAGCCGAGGTTGAGAGCCGGTGTTCCACCCAGGCGTCCCCCAGCTGGAGCCTTCGGCACTGATCACGTAGAGGTGTATCTGTCCTGCCGCAGCCCTGCCCGGCCCCCTGGGTCCTCGAGCTCGGCAGCCATGTAGCGTGTGCCGACAGGGCCCCGATTCATAGGCTCCAGCCTGTGCCTGTCCCAAGGCTGCAGGCTGCTGGTGTCCCCTGCTGGCTCACAAATGCACGTTACTGATTATGGAGGGAACAGACAAGGTAGTATGGATGATTCGGAGCAAACACCTCTTACTACTAGAAATTAATTAAAGCCAAAGCTAAGTCCAGTTGACGGTGGTTCCCATCAGAAATGCCCCTTTCGTACGAGCGAGAGGCCGTCAGCGCACACAGCGGAACCTCCTCCAGCAGCACTCATGATGCCCTCCGCATGCCACCTTGGAGTCTGTGCTAAGCAAGTGCCAGTGGCCTTCAGGTCAACAGCTGTCAAATGTGCCTCAGAATGCCCTGGGGAGCTTGTTAAAGTGCACACAGCTGGGCCACTCCCAGGGTTCCTGAGTCTGTAGTTCTGGGGTGGGGCCCGAGAACTTGCATTTCTAGAGTTACCCCTCGATGCTCCTGCTGATCCCGGCCCCACGCTTGGAGACGCGCCCTCGGTCAAACCTGCTCAGCCCCCATCCTGTCACTCAGAGCTGGGCCGTGTCAAGGGAAGATGGAAGGGCCAGGGACCTTGTGGCACCTACCTGTGTGGGGACAGAGGGGACCCAGCTCCTGCTTCGGTGACCTCCAGTTCCCACGGTGGCCTCCCAGTCAGGGCTTCGCTAGGTTGTCCTCCAGGTGCTCGCTGGAGCTCCATTGGCCCCCTTATGGCCCAGGCAGGTTAGAGCCTGCTGACCCGCTTCAGCTGTCCCGAGTGCTTTCTGCTGCTGGTCCCCAGCCTCCGCCCCTGCTGTCATCAGGGGTGGCAAGAACAACCTTTTTTAACTCAGGACACTTAGGTTTTGGCTATGGCCTTGCTGGCCATGCCCCAGCATTCTCCTGCCTGGAGTGTGAGCATTTTTAGGGGGAATCCGTAGCCCCGCAGCTGCCCTAGTCCGGGGTCAGCTGGGCTGCCTGGAGCTCCACATGGAGTCCTGGCAGGGCAGTGGGGCAGGTGGCACCACTTCCTCCCTGGTGTGGCAGACCTGTGATCCGGGGAGGGCCTGGTGACCATGCATGGACACTATCCACCCTGGGGGAGGCCTTCAGCTCTGGGTCACACAGAAGTCACAGCCCTTGCGGCTCATCAGCACCTGGCCTCTGTCACAGGCATCTTGATGAAGATTGATTGTAAAGACACAGTGCCACGGGGCGGCTTAATTGCAGCAATAATCACGTTGGCACCTGTGTTTTGGAAGCGCTCTGCAGTCACTAATTAGCCTGTGCCACGCGCCAGCAGCCTCCCGCCTCCCGCCCTCCCAACGAATAGGTCGTGGGGAGCCTTTTCCCCTCTCCGCGGAGAGCTAGGGCTCCAAGGAGGCCGAGGGACCCCAGACCAGGCCAGTGCCGTCCCCTCAGTCTGCCTCCTTCAGAGCTGCCTCCCACTCCTGGCCTAACCACACCGGGCGCCTTGCAGAGCAGTTTTCCCAGACGGTCAAAGGCGAGCAGGCTTCTCTGGCAGCTGTCGCTGAGCACCAGGGTTTCAGGCCTGTGCTGGGAAGGTCAGCACTGCACCCCCAGGGACAGCTGCAGAATAAAAAGTCTGTCGGACTCAGGAGGAAAAATCTCCAAACAGAAGCTGAACACTAGAGACCCTGCTGCTCAACCTGTCATTTAACGGGGGAGGCCCAGAGGGCAAGGTCACATAGTCAAGGTCAATGCCTCAAACAAGACCTGGCACTTGAGCACTGGCACATAGGAGCTCTGGACAGAATCCAAGACCTTCTGTGCCCTCATCTTCCAGGGTTTAGTGAAAAATTGACCATGCCTGTTGCTTTGTGCAGCTGCAGAGTCACGTGGGCGCACACCTGGGCCGGGACTTCTTCCTGGGCCACCAGCCCTCCGCCCGCACCGCCACCTACGTCAACCTGCGCGAGGTCTCTGGCCGGGTTCGCCTGCCCCCCGGGGAGTACCTGGTGGTGCCGTCCACTTTCGAGCCCTTCCGAGAGGGCGAGTTCTGCCTGAGAGTGTTCTCGGAGAAGAAGGCCAAGGCCCTGTGCGTCCCCTCCCTGTGGTGGGGGGTGCTTGTCTGGGTGCCCACCGAGGCAGCGCCAGCCTGGGTGCAGGGCCCTGTCACTGTGGGACCCTCCCTAGCTCCCAGCTGTTGTGCCCAGAAGAAATTTGTAGGGCACCATAGGTCCCACGGGTCCTTCCCTGGGTGTCCGCCTCCTGTCCCCTCCACTTTGCTCTATAGGACACGGGGGAAGTTTTCTTTAAAAAAAAAAAGGCTAAGGCTGGAGAGAACGGGCACAGCAGCCGGCTGGTGAGAGGGTCCCCCTGCCCAGGAGGGGCATGTGAGGCCCAGAGGACGGGCCTAGATGGGAGCACCCCTCCCCTTACACATGCCACACATCACGCACGTACACATGTAGACATTCACGCGTACCACACACCATGCACATATACCATGCACACGCACCACACGCACCACACAGCATGCACACATACAGACCACATATACTACCTCACACACATACACCACATGTGCACACCACACACACACTGCACATTACACATACATACCACACACCATGCACACATGCACGCCACACATCTACTGTATCACACACGCACACAAGGCACATACAACACACACTCCAGACATATACGCCATGCGCACACTCACACACACACACTATACACCACACACACTATACACATACCACACATCATCCATACACACCGCACACACCACACAGCATATACACACCACTCACACACGCACATGTGCATGACACACATCACAGCACACGCATGCATGCAATGGCTGTGGGCGTGCTGGCTCATTCCCTGGAGAACCTTTCAACAGGGATTCACATAGCTGGGTTCCCAGGGGAGGAGAAGAGTGGTAACTGGGGTTAGGTGGGGAGAGAATTCCCCAGAAGAGTGATCCATCAGAGTGAACATTCTAGACTCCATGAAGGGCCAATTGGACGTGGAAGCTCTTGTCTCTGATGAAAAACTCGGGGTGGGGTGGGGGTTGAGGAGGTCGAGGGGACGGATCCTGGTTAAATATTCAGTTTATGCAGTTTTTAGTAGACACTGAAGTCTTGGGTGGGAAGCCAGTCCCTCAGAGGGGTCAAAACCTTCCTAAAAGAACCTAGCCTTAGTAATACTTTTTACTTACTCAAATTTTTTTCATTCTTTCTTTGTATTTCAGGGAAATTGGGGATGTGGTAGCTGGAAACCCACATGAGGTATGCCATCTTTTAGTATGTCAAGCTCAGACACTGTTGTATTGCAGTCATTTGGGGTTTCTTACTGATTCATCACAGTTCTTTATATAGTAAGGATGGTAATTTCTTATTAGTTGGGGCCACAACATTTTCTAGGCCCTGGCTCTTCCTGATGAAGATGAGATAGAAGGAGCACTGGAACCCAGGCTTTGTAATGCATCCCCGCCCCGGGGGGTGTCTTAGCATCTCCCAGGGTTGAGCAGCAGGACCTGCAGAGAGAGCACTTTGTGTGTGCCTGAGCCACTCTGTGTAGGACAGAGAAGTCAGCAGGAGAAATAGATCTGGTCCCCTGTTCTTGGACTGACCTCCAGTCTATCGGAGGACAAATGGTGGAAGCACATGAAAAAGACGAGAGAAAGCACATGCCAGAAATGGATCTAAACTGCACGTGTGTGGCCCAAAGGGTGCTGGAGTGGGCGCCTGCTGGGAGGGCCCCACGGAGAGGTGAGTTCAGAGCAGTCTTTGGAGGAAGAAGCACACAGGTTTGGACATGCGGGTTCACCATCTCACTCCCTTTATCTCTCACTCGTGCCCTCAGCTTACCGTCCTTTCGCTGAGATGAAGTGTGTGGTGGCAGCGTGTTGGGCGTTCCTCTCCATGAGGGCCACACGTGGGGGCACAGGCCCAGCTTCCACCCCTCTGTCCCGTCTACCCAACAGGGTTGAGGTGTCTCTGGCTGCAGATGCCACACGGAGCACACCCCCCCAGCTCCAGCTGCCGAGCCTGCGCCTTTAGCTGAATATGGGTGGGGCAGACACCTTCTATCATTTCACATTATCAGATTTGGAAGCTCACGTTTCCGTAGATGCACGAGAAGTTGCTAAATAAGGATCCATTTCGCCCTGGGGGTTTATGTCATAAATTAATCCAACGGGCAATGTCTGTGATTGCTTAGTCCAGTGAGCTCTGACCAGCTGTGACCACTCCCCTGGGACCCCGAGCTTAGTAGTTAAGCCCACGGTCACAGCACCTCCTGCCGCAAGTCCCTGGCAATACCTGGCACCAGAGGGCCTTTCAGTGCGTAATCTCTCGGTGACCTGTGCTGGCCAGAATACCCCCTCCTGCCCTCGCCGTGGTTGCAGGGCCAGCCCAGCTCCTCGCTGCCCGGGGAGCACTTACCGTTCGCAGTGGTGTCTACTGTCGGCCAGGTGTGTTAGACAGCGGAGTTTGCCAGCTGGAGTTTGGAGCTGAGTCTGCATGCAGTGGGGAGAATGATCTTCTCCGCCCCCTCTTTTTTCCGTCAATTATCCTCTTTTTTTTTTTTCCTGCTAAATCAACTCAAAACTGATTCCAAGCCCCTGTCACACCAGACTGGCAGGAGTTCAATCCCAGTCACTGTCAGGGCTGCTTCCCTCTGCCTCCCAAGATCCTGGGGTTTTCTAAAGCCCCCAAGCAACAGGAAGTCTCTTCTGGTCATGGGTCCACAATTGGTCACCCTGTGGTCAGCTCACAGGTTCCTTCATGGGGGACAGCTCTTGGGCTTGGCTTGGGGCTTGGACTCTTGGCTGAACTGGAGTCCCCAGGCTGGTGGTCCAGCCTTCCCTTCTGAAGTCCCCAGGGCATGGCTATGGAGGCATGATACTGGGGTCCCCATGTCCCAAGGTCCTGCAGACTTCCAAGGTCTTCCTAGTTTTAAGGAAACCCTGCCTATTCTCTTTAGGACACTCCTCTCTCAACACACACACACACACACACACACACACACACACACCACACACACACACACACACACACACACACACACACCACACACACACACACACGCCCCCTCCTTCCCTCCCCTGACAGACGTGTACGCCCTTGGGGATAAGGCCCTCAGGGCACTCAGGACTTTACAGGAGACAGGAAGAGCCATTGCCTTTAAGAATTTCTTTTTTCCTCCCTGCAGAAATTTCCAAGTCATGGATGTTGGACATTCAAAGTCTCAGAATGGGAGAGGGAAAAATATAGGATGAATAAATATACTCTTAGAATTTAGATGTGTTAAACTTCTATCAGGGTTGACACACACCTGTAGTCCCAGCTACTCGGAAGGCCGAGTGAGGAGGATCACCTGAGCCCAGCAGTTTGAGGTTGCTGTGAGCTAGGCTGACACCACGGCACTCTAGCCCAGGCAACAGTGTGAGACTCTGTCTCCAAAAAAAAAAAAAAAAAAATCATGTATGTGTGATGAGATGTGATGTGTTTATCATTTTTTTCTTCTAAGAACTCTAGATATAACTTTGGACTTGCATGTCTTACATGTAAGCAGTGTGGTAGGCACTAATACCCTCGTGCTAGAGGAGAGGAACAGCCCGGAGGGGCCGGGAGCAGCAGGATGCAGAGAGTGTCTGCTGGTTACCTTGCTAGAGCGTGGTGGAGACACGTGCGGGCTGGAGTTTGAATCTTGGCGCCACTGCCTGCCAGCTGTGTGATGCCGGCTTTTTACGTAACATTTTTAAACCCCAGTATGTCCATCTTGTGGAATGTGGAGGGCAATGAGACTGACCTCACAGGGTGGTGGTGAGTACTGAAGGGAATAGTCCATGTACAGCACCTGTCAGGCAGCGAGCCCTCGACAAAGGCGTGTCATCGCCGCTGTTGTGACTCTTAGGAGTGCAGCACCGTCAGTTCATGTTCAAGCCTTTTGTACTTAGAGACGGTTTTAGAAGAAATTGACATGGCTTTCTGGAAACTTGGAGCCATCTTGGTAGCTGTGACTTCTCCATTCTGTCTGGAGGTGACAGTCGGGGAGGGACAGTTGGTGACAGTCGTGGGTGCCCGTTGCCACATCAGAAGTCTCTGGACAGGGGCGCTCATATAATGGGCTGTAATTTCCAAAGGCTTGTGACCCACATCAGCTCTCACTGGGGTCTCAGAATGACCCCCCGAGACAGGCCCAGTTAATTGGATCGTCGACTGGGGCTGCAGGTGCGCAGAGCCCAGAGAAGGCCGGCAGGTGGCTGTCTGCTCTTTGAACTCCAGCTCTGCCATTTCTGCCAGGCCGTGTTCCTCACCACTTCTTAATCACGTTGCCCTTTGAGAATCTGATGCAAGCTAAGAAAATGAATATAAACAGCATCCCAAATTTTCACGCAGTATCTGGAGTTCACAGGCCCCTGAAGGTCATTGCTGAATCCCTTAGGAGTCCACAGATCCAGGCTGAGGTTTCCCGATGTCAGTGTTTTTGTTGTTCTCTGAAAGGGACTCAGGGTTGAAATCAGACATGCGGGTTGGTGGGCTCACTTCCCCACGTCACTCAGGGACGAAGCCCCCGGGCCCCAGCGCGGTGTCCCTGCTGGACCGTAAGCCCTCTGGGGCTGGGACCTTGGACGTCCCTCCTGTTTGTCGCCGCATGCCCCACTTAGCGCAAAGCCTGGCGCCCGGTAGGTGCATGCTAGATACAGGGATGAATGCATTAATTTTCAGTCTTCATCTTCATCTTCAGTGAGTCCCATTTCTCGTTGCAAACGTCTTCCCTTTTAGCCACATCCCAGCGAGCTGGACCCAGAAGACAGCCAGTTCAAGAGCCTGTTGGAGAAGCTTGCAGAGAAGGTGAGTGGAGGCCAAAGACGCCCCCCAGACAGGAGGGACAAGGTTCGAGAACGCTCAGACCACTTTCATCTTTATTCCCTTGTGTGTCTAGAAGTAAGAAGGGGGAGATTGCTGGTCTCAGGGGCCCCAGGATTCTGTGTCTGCCACTCTGTCCTGTCCTAAGACGTAGCCTTTTCCACACAGCTGGGGAGAGGAACCGTGGTCTGAGGCCACTCTTGCTGCGCTGGCCCTTGAGTAAATAGAAAAGCCGGATCTCTAGGTCCTGTCAAAAGCCTTTCTGTTTGTAAATTGGCCCTGTCACATCGGGGCCTCTGCCTAGAAAGCAGGGGTGGGAAATCCTCTCCAAATCAATAACCTTCAGAGGCGGAACCGCCCAGCCTGGGTGGAAAGTGGCTGGGTTGACCTGGCCTGGGACTGGAGCGGGAGACACAGCGGCTTGCTGTCACCATCCCGCCGCCTCCCCCACCCCTGGGGTGTCCACAGCACTAGGCCTGCAGAATCCACGCTGGCTGGGCTCGGAGTGGAACTCCAGAGTGCTCAGAGCAAGACAGAGGCCCCTGCTGCTCCCTGTCCCCTGCCCTGCCTCCTGGCATTCGCTTCCATCCCTGTCCTGCAAGGCCATGAGTCAGAGCACACCCGGACTCAAAGTGTCAAACCAGCCCCATAAATACAGGGAATGTGCTTCTCTCTGGAGGATAATAAACTGTGTGAAAAGGGCTTTGGAAAGGAAAAAACGATGTTCCCATCTCTCCCCAAGGAAGCTCAGGAAAACTTTCTAGACTGAAGGATGGAACAGAAGAAAATGCATCAGAATCTCTTGCAGAAAATAAAACCTGGGGACAGTTCCTTTGCGAGGCCATTGAATAAAACCCTTGCCAAGATGAGCCAATCTATGTTTTAGGCGGATGCTCGGACCAGCGTTTTTGCTAACAAAACCTTATTTCCTTAGCTGCCAGGGCGCTGTGTTTCATGAAGACCATCAAGAATGACGGAAGAGAAAAGCTCATATTTGTATAGTTCTTTACATTCCTCATCTCACTTTTCTCTCCTGCTGTGTGGGGCAGATCGGTCACTGCCCTTGCTGTGCTGGTGAAGTGCCCGGCACAGAGGGTTAAGGAGCTTGCTGAGGGCACAAGGCTTCCTGAGGGCTGGGGCCAAGTTCCAAGGGTAGGTGCTTGACATCCTGTTTCTCCGCTGGCAGGCTCATGGGGACAGTCTTCTAGGCCCAGAGGCTTTTTAGAGGGTCCTCAGGTCCTGAGTGTGGCCAGGCGTGCTCACAGGAGACACTGCTTTGTGCTGCTCTTGCCGGGGCCTGGCTAGTGGAGGATGGAGGATGGGCCGTGGCTTGGCTAAGGTCACCTGGCACATAAGGGGCAGAGTCCAGACTGCAGCCCCGACCTCAGCCCGGCGCCACTTCTCTGCACCTCATTCGTCATCCTGCCTGAGGTCTGTCCTTCACCTGAGAGTTAAGGGACAGATCTCCCCTCTGGCTCAGTGTTTGTCTCAAGTGCACAGGGGCTATCCTATTCCCTAGATCCCAGCTCCCCGTTCAGATGAGCTACTGTGCGAGATAGTAGCCCCCGTTGGTGCGGCACGAAAGCTGGCACTCTGGGGTGAGATGACCTCAGGTTTCCAAGCCCAGCTCTGCCACTTGGTAGCCGTGAACCCCAAGCAATCGTACCACATCAAAATGACAAATGGCATCGTGTACGTGTACGGTGGTTAGCAGTTTACAAATCACGGCTTCCTTAACTCTGAAACGGCTGCGGGGTGGTTCTGAGGATCTGAGGATGTCCATGTCGGGTGCGGCGCGTCCTCGCTCGCTCCTTGTGTTGCGGCCGTCCTCGCTTTGCTGCCTGAGTGGGCCCTGGGAAGGGTGGCAGGAGCCTGGCACGGCTGCCCCCAGCTGCCAGGCTGTTGGAGACCCCAGAGGAAATGGAGAATTTGAGTTTTTAAAGATGTCAGACGCTGTTAAAATCATGGGCCGGTGGACCTGAGGTCCGACCGTGCAGGAAGCTCTGCGTTCATTTAACTTCTTGAAACAGCTTGTCCGGGCCTGACACGGTCTTCATTTGCGTTTCTCTTTCTAGGATTCTGAGATCGGTGCTGGTGAGCTGAGGACAGTTTTGAATGGGGCGTTTTCCAAACGTAAGTTCCTCCTGGAGTCTTTCTGTGGGGGCTGAAGAGCGATGCCAAGGTGTGGTGAGGGAGGGGGCAGGCAGGCCTGGGCCAGCAGCCCCGCAGGTGGGAGAGAAGCTTTGGCCTCTGACGCAGCGGTCCGGATCCCGGCCCGCAAGGCAGGAGCTGGGAGGCAGGTGAGGCAGCAGAGGTGGGGGCAGGGCTGGTGCTGGGGACCCCCACCCTGCAGGAGCGAGGCCCTGTGGTGTCAAATGAAATCCCATGTTGAGTCCTGGGAAGACTGAGGTTGACTTAAGTGAAATTTTTCACAAAATTAATAACTTTGATGTCGTGGAAACCTCTGCAGATGAAAGCTCTTGTTCCGTAGCGCATTTTGGGGAAGGAGAGAGGAAGGAGTGATTCTGACTGTGCTAGACTGCACTCGGTTCCCTATCCCCAGGCCTCAGAAAGCCTCGGGGGCTGGCAGAGGGTCAGGCTGCACCAGGAGGGAACGTTTGCTTCTCCCCTCTCAAGCCCAGCCCCACAGGAGGTGGCTTGAGCTGGTTTCTTTCCTGGTCCAGAGGTGGGCCAGGTGAAGTCCCCCAGCTGTTTGAGTGACGGGCTCTCTCATTCACCCACCGCAGCAGGAGTGGGCCTGAGAATGCAGGACGCATGGGGGGCAATGCAGGAGTGGCCAGCGGGATCCCTCCTGGAGATGGGCCCAGGGCTGAGCAGCTGCCCAGGGCTCGGAGACTAGGCGCTGGCTGGGACGGACCTTCCCTCCTCTGCTCCTGCCATTGTGGAGAAGAGTAGAGAGAAGAGGAGGGGTGCAGGGTCTTTGGCACCTGCCTTGGCTCCCAGGTTTGAGGAGGGTGAGGGTGGAGGCCAGGAATGGCGGAGCTCCGGGGAGATACCCGTAGTTTAGCAAGTCAGGATGACAGCTGTCATTGAACAGCAGTGTATTGCGGTTATGAGCGCAGGCTATGGAGCCAGCTGGCTGCGTTGAAATCCCAGTTCTGCCCCCTACTGGTTGAGTGACCTCGAGCAAATTATGTCCCCTCTCTGGGCCTCAGTTTCCCTCTCTATGAAATGGGGATGATGATAGCATCTACTGCATGGGGTTATTTGGAACTGTAGATGGACAGTGCTCAGAACAATACTTAGCTGATAAAAAGTTAGCTGTTTTCCTAAGAACTTATTATATGCCAAGCACCAGGCTATAACTTCACTTATATTATCTCAATTAATGCCCAACCAGTCTTTGGAGCGAGTATAGTCATTGTTATTATTATTCCCACTTGATGGAGGAGGAAATTAGAGCTTTCAGTTTGCCAGTCTGTGGCTTGGGAACAGCCGAGCCAAGGGTCAGGGGCTGCACCTGATCAGTCAGCGTTGCCCGTCCTGCCGCCGCGGCTCGGGGCTGGCGGTACCTGCCCACGGCCCGCCACGGAGCTCTCCCTTTTGCCGGAGACCGCGTTGGGCTCCCTACTCTGGCTGGTGTCTTCGGTGGTCTCCTCCTGGGAGGTTATTTCCCCATCTTCAAATAGTGCTGAGTCCCACCCCCTTTTTCTATTTAAATGTTCAGGAACAGACGTAAAATTCGACGGATTCAACATCAACACTTGCAGGGAAATGATCAGCTTGTTGGATGTATCCTTTAAATGTCGCATTATTTTTACTTTTGTCCTGTTTTTAAAGACTGCTCTACCTTTTCCAGTGAGACGAAGGGAAGGGTAGAAAAGGGAAAATACACACATATACAGCAAATGTCAGGATTGTGCTTGAAGCTTTAAAGAAAAATGGATCATTTCATCCATGCCCCTAAAAAGCTTGGGATTATCTCCATTTCACTCATAGGCGAATAAACTGAGGCGCGCCGTGTTTCAGTGCCTTGTTTAAAGTCGGGTAATTTAGAGACAGCAAGCGTGGGCACTGTGCGCTCCTCCCTCCACTCTGTTGATGGCATCGCTCCTCCTGCTCTGCCCTCTCCCACCCTCCACCGGCCCTGGCTCTGCCCAGCACTGTCCGGTCTCTGTTTCAGAATCATAACGAGGCCCTCGGATAGCCACTGGAAGTAGTTTAAAATGATCGCATGACATAAAACCTATTTGTTCTCTCTGATTTAATTTAACCCCCACTTCATACTGAAGAATGGTGTCTTAGGCTGTTTGGGCTGCTGTAACAGAACACCGTAAACTGGATGGCTTATAAAAAGCATAAATTTATTTCTCACAGTTCTGGAGGCTGGAAAGTCCAAGATAAAGGCTCCGACAGATTTCGTGTCCAGTGGGGGCCGTCTTCTTACTGTAACTTCCTGTGGTGGAGGGGGTGAGGGAGTTCCCTGGGCTCCCTTTTATAAGGGCACTAATTTCTTTGATAAGGGCTCCACCCTAATGACCTAATTAATTCCCAAAGACCCCACCCCCAATACCTTCACATTGGGATTAGGTTTCAGCATATGAATTTTGGAGGGACGCAAACACTCTGTCTATAGCAAATGGGCAGTGGTTTTCTGGAGCGGGAGAGAAGGTTAGGGCATTCTAGGTGGAAGGAACATTCTAGATGTGAAGGCACAGAGGCCAATGGTTGAACATCACTTCCTTAGAGCTTTGCCTACAGTGGGTGCACAGTGTGGGCGGTGAAGGTGATTTCTTTAAAAATTGGAGCCTTTGGAAGGTGCTCTTTAGTTCTCTGGGGCCTGATCTGTGGCGAACTCTGGCAGCCTGTGTTTCGTTAGCTGGGGGGCCGAGGAATGATGGTCACACGGGGTGGCCCTGGGTGACGAGCGTGCCTGCTGACCTCTGCGTGGCTTGTTCCTGTAGACACACGGTGCTCTCTCCTGGCTTCGCAGCCTCAGGTGGCCACACCCGGCATGAGGCTGGGGCTCTTCGGCCCTGGCCCTCCTGTCTTCCCTGCATGGTTAACAGTTTACTTTGAGGGCCACAAAGAACTGTTAAGTGTGGATTCGCTGTGCTGCAGGCAGTTCCTAGGTTTCTGAATCGTTCTTATCAAACCTTGCCTGCTGCCTTCAATTTAGATCTGAGAGTTGCCCTGTGGTCTATGTACTCATTGCTCCCCACGGTGTTTGTGTCTCTCCTGGCTCCAAGTGGGCTGTGACCCTGTCACTCTCCAGGAGTTTTCGTTCCTCAGTTGAGACCGTGTGGGACAGCGCTTCTGAATCACAATGTGTAGCGGAACTGCTGTGGAGGCCTTAAAAAAATAGGCTTTATTGAGATGTAATTTGCATGCCATACAACATACCCATTTAAAGTGTGTAATTCAATGGTTTTTACATATTCACAGAGTTTGCAACCATCATCACACAACTTAGAACATTTCCTCACACCCAAAAGAAACCCTGTACTCGTATTAGCCATCACTTCCCATTTTTCGCCAACCCTCCCCCATCCCTTGGCCACCACTAATCTACTTTCTGTCTCTATAAATTTGCCTGTTGTGGAAATTTCACATAAATGAAATCATACAATATGTGGTCCTTTGAGATTGGCTTCCTCCACTGAGCATGAGGTTTCAAGTGCTATAACATGATCAAGACTTTATCACTCATAGGGTTTTAAAATACAGTTTTAAACTGCAGAGTCTCCCCCCTGGAGATCCCCACTCAATAGGAGTGGTCTCTGCAGGCAATTCCATCTGCAATTGAGGGCACTGGTATTCAGGGACAAGGCTCTGGCACAGGCAGGGGTCCCAATCCTGGCTCCACCACTTATTTAGGTGTATAAATTCGGGGAAGTTAACAAATACTCTGAACCTCAGTTTCTTCTCCTGGAAGATGGGTTAACAATATCTAGCTGGTGTGGCTGTTACGAGGATGAAATGAGATACAAGTATAGAAAGTGCCTGGGCCTAGAGTGTTAGCTTCCTTTGCACACTGCTCTTCTGAGATGTGCTGGGGAGATTATTAGCAAGGGTTTGAGGCTGTCTGCATTCAACACTCAGTGTTTCTTGCAGATACAAGAATACAGACTCTCTTAAAGGGTGAGGTTTACACTCTTGGGTGTAAATCAGACTTTTTGTGTGGCTGGTTAAAGAAGGTGGGAGTGATGGTCTCTTTCAGAATTTTAACATCAGCGCTGTAACATACTGATGTTTATTGATTAGTTGTGATTGGTGAGTAAAGGGTAGAGTTTCAAAGAGACTTAACTTCATGAGGGTAAAGTAAGTTCAAAACCAAATCCCCACCGACTGGCGCAGTGCTCAAAAAATAGTCATGGAGTAAGTTGGCCGCAGAAGATTCCACATAACCCCGTACCTGTTTCGGTCGTGCAGTGACCTGTGAACAGATTGTGTGCCCGAGAATCCCAATCCCCTGCCTCCCAAGGACTTTTCTGATAACATTTTTACATTCCAACAACTCTAATATCTGAATGGTTGGTCACAGACATGTAAGTCTGGAAGCGAATTTACAGATCGTATAGCTCAGCCCTGTGAATAACCCAGGATGATCAGGGCATGGGATGCTAGTTGATGCTGCTGCTGGGAGGCCTGTAGGCCCCAACTTGCCCTTTGTTCCCAGCTCTGTGCCTGGCCTCAGGTGAGGAGCTTGGCGAGCATTTGGCTTTTTAGTCTTCATCTGAACCCGTTTCCCACTGTCACCCCTGCTGCTCTGCTTGCTGCAGACACGGAAGGTTCACTGCAGCCTTAAGGCACGCATGCAAGGTCACAAGAGAGAAATCCACAAGACATGTGGCATTTGGGCTCGATCATGTTGGCCTTTAACGTGCTAGAGCACCGGAACGGGCACCCTGGGGCCGGTGGAACTCAAGACACTCTGGCTGAAGATTCGGAAGTACCTGGTAACTCTCCTTGTTCTCCGGGCATCCTCTGGGCTCTGGCCCCTCTCCTCTGCCCTAACCCTCCCTGACACTCATCCCCGGTCTATTATGGATTCTAATCTGACCGGATCCTTAATCAGGGTCAAAACTGCAAAGTCCAGGCACATTGTTCAGCAAGGAACAAGAAAGCACGAGAAACTCTCCCGCCAGCCCCTGCACTGAGAGTCCCGCCATTCAGATGGCAAAGGGGCCGGCACCGGCCGGGCTATTGTCCTTGTCTGAAACCTTCTTGGGAGGAGTGCGTGGGGTCTCATCTTGAATGCACCCCTCCCTTCCAAGGAGCGGCAGGGTGGTTCTTGCCGGGGGCAGGGGTCATGAATGTTGTTTTCTACCTAGAGCTTCTCTCCTGCTTTAGGAGATCTATCAGGAAACGGATTATAAACACTTGGGCACCATCGATGCCCATGAGATGAGGACAGCCCTCAAGAAGGCAGGTGAGGACACATCCTGCAGACAAGGTCTTGGGACCCAGATGTGCCATTTAAATTCGTCATTGTCATTATGATGACTGCTAATGAACATCGTTGGTGGTTATCTTAGGTTGCACAGCAGTGTGGTGACACAGCTTTGTTGAGTGCCTTCCCTGTCCAGGAAGCAGGGAATGTTTCTGGATTCTATATAGCATAACACTTTGGAATTTTTTCAGGAGCTCTGCCTGTTACTGGGAAGATGGCGGCAATTAGAGAGGGTGGGGCTGTGAAGGAGATGGGCAGGGGACCGGCCAGCAGACCATCCACGTCCCTTCTGTTTTCCCTTGCTGTGGCTAACGTGACTCGCGGCTGAGCTAGCGGTGGAGCGAGTGTTGGGCCAGGGATGGGGAGTGTGTAAGGGGAGGCGGACGGATGTCAGGACTCCTCTGGGACCCCTGGAGAAGGCGGAGTCAGGCCTGGTTTTTAGATTTATACAGAACCGCAGAGGGGCCCCTACGATGTCAGCTCCTTGGATTTTTATCAGAGGCAGTGCTGAGTCCTCCGCTCCCCCTGTGACCCGTCCCCTCTGCCCTCAGGCTTCGCCCTCAACAACCAGGTGCAGCAGACCATCGCCGTGCGGTATGCGTGCAGCAAACTCGGCATCGACTTTGACAGCTTCGTGGCTTGTATGATCCGCCTGGAGACCCTCTTTAGTGAGTCCCTCTCTCCTCTAACCGCACCCCACGGCTCCCAAGCTGCAGCGAGTGGCAGGGGCAGGGCCCTGAGGCAGAACCAGGCGTTGCCTTCGGGAGGCCAGGGGTCCAAGAAACCACAGATGGGGCTTCTTATAGAAGACACCCTGAGGTGCGAGGAAGCAGAAACTGAAGGGGCTGAAGAAGTCCCAGGTAGCCAGACCCAAGGTTTGGGCTGCTTTTTCTTGGAAACCTAAAAAGTCGCCCTCCAGATTATTGTGCATCTGCTACGTGCAGTCACGGGGCTGAGACGCGTGAGTCCCAGTGGTGAGCCTTAGGTGGCTTTAGCGTCTACTCGTATTTATGCTGCCATAGCGCTCATATTGACAGCGTGTGTCACCTTCCAGTGAGAGGATCGGGCCCCCTCTGGAAGGCATGTGTTCTCCTGCCACCTTGGGCCTGGGATCAGATATCTTATTAAGGGAGGGGGTTTCCGTCTCCTGAGGGCTGGTGGGTGATGAGTTACAGTGGGTACAACGGAGGGACTGGAGTCCTCACAGGCAGGGTGACAGCGGCTGTTCCACAGTCCCGCCCTGGTAAAGTAATTGCAAATGTCTGCACAAAGCTTCGGAGGGTGGAGATGCCAAAGGGACCGTTGCTGCTGACAACTGGGATTGTCCTTCTGGCCAGGGGCACGTCTGCTGCCAAAAGCGTTCATCCTGGGCCCTGGGTCTAGATTGAGTTTTCGAGGTCCCTCAGGCTAGGTGGGGGCTGGAGGGGAGGTTATGTAGGGGAAAGGGCAGCCCCCCACTGGGGTTGGGGCAGACAGAGGTGGCTCTCTTGATTGCTCCCGAGTCTAGGAACAGCCCTGTCTGATTCCACCCCTTCTCCGGCATTTCAGAACTGTTCAGGCTCCTGGACAAGGACCAGGATGGCATCATCCAGCTCTCTCTGGCTGAGGTAAATGGCCTGAGGTTTGATGAACTGCTTGCTGATGGTACTTTGAAATTTTTTGGATGGAGTAGGTGCCTACTGACTGCCTTATTTCCATGTGAATTCCATCCGTGTTCTGCGGCAAGCATTGAGGGAGGAATGTGATCCTTATCACACAGTTTTCCAAGCATTTTTATTTGTTATCATCTTAATGATAAGGCTACAGCTACATTTCAAGTAATTTTGGAGATGCAAGCCTTTGTAATTTGGATGGAGTTGGGGGTGGTGGGCACCATTTAACATGTGTGACTTCTGGGACCAGCTGTCTTAGATTGACATACAGAAGGTCATAGGAAACAAAAAATGAAATTGCAACAAGGTAGAATGAAGACGCAAAATAAATGAGCGCTTGTACTACGTACAAGTCACACAGTCTTTTATGCAGGGAAAAACCGTAGTGTGGGCTGCAGCCCTGTACGGCAGAGGCTTCACCGGCCAGAGGGGACAGCAGGAAGGCTGCAGATGTCCCAGGGGCCCAGGCTGGGGAAGCACTGGTGGGGAAAGCGCACGGGCTCCCTGGGAAGCTGCGGCTCAGCCCATCTCTCTTCTTTGCAGTGGCTGTGCTGCGTGTTGGTCTGACCCCAGGTTTCGGACATCGGTGACCTCCCTGCCCCCCGCCTGCCTCTTTTCTCCCCTTTTTTACAATTTTGTGAACACTTATCCTCAAGTGGCGTTCATTCACTGGTTATTCATATCTTCCTCGCCTCTCCTTGTGCCTTGGGATCCTGGCCTCTCCCAGCAGAGCAGGCTGGGAGCCCAGGGTCTCTTTCAGCAGCACCGACCTATGAGCTGTTTACGTCGACCCAGGGTCCAGGCGAGGGGAAGTGATCCATTAAAGCTTGGGCCTGAATGGGTTCTGCAGTGATGTGTTGTCTGGACTGTACCCTGGGCTGCCTGTGCTTTCTCAGAGAAGACGTTCTTGGGAAGTGACACAACCCCAACCTGCTGGAAGATAGAAAATGTGGGTTAATTTCGTGGAGGCGCGCCTGCTGTGGACCTTTGGGGGCCACCTTCGGGAAGGGAGCCGAGGAAGGGTGCCGGGACGGGGCACTGGGGAGCAGGGCTCCCTCCTCTCTTGCAGACAGGGGAAGTTTCTGTCCTGTGCTGACGGGACTTCGCGCCTGACAAATAGCTAGAGCGACATGCAATTCAGAGTAGTTTTGCTCACAGCTGAACACAGGGCTCTTTGCTGATGGAAAGAAAATAGATGCCACAGCCACAGGGTCCTAGTCGGGAGGTGGGATAGGACTGGCTCTTCTGTGTGGACTTTGGACATGAAGTATAAAGGAGAACACGCACACACACACCACACACACACGTGCATGCATGTGCCTTGGCCCTGGAGTAGTCTGATCAAGGATTAATTTTCTCCTTCTAGGAGTAGATCCAGATGGACGTTCCCTGTAGGAAAATGACTGCCAAGTACGGCAAGCACCGGGTGGCTACAATGCACCTTCGAGTCTCCCAAGACCCCGTGGGGATGAGGGGGAGGTGAAAGCTCTGCCATCACACCCCTGCAGGGAGGGCTCGGTTAATCTGATGGTGGAGATGAGGTCTATTTGTTTTATATCTGTGGGCCCCAGAAGAAAAGGGGTCCTTCCTCATCTGGTCAGGGCTACGAGGGTGGGGGGAGGACAGAGCTTCCATGAGCAGGACTGAGCAGGCGCAGGCCCTCCACCCTCCGGCTGCCTGAGGGACCGTCCTGCCTGCTCCGTGGCCCAGCTGGTGTTCTTGTGCTCCTTGACACATCGACCAGGTACAAGTCTCCTCCCTACCTCAGTCCCCACCGGACCCCATTCTCCACTGTACCCCATTGTAGAGCACTACAGACCAGTTCTCCCCTAAGCATAAAGTGCTACGTTATAATCAACTTGCAACAAGTCGTCATATTTTGAAGCTCCACAGGCTTCAACTACTTTAGGGAATAGTTTGGTAATCAAAAAAAATACAGTCTCATGACAAAATGTCATTTGCTTTGGGGGCTCGGGGCTCCGGTAAGCACTGTCCTGGAGACTGCTTGCCCATACGGCTCGTGAAGCAGGTGAAAGATCCCAACCCTGTGATTTTCTTCTCAAACACCCGAGAGTTGGCCGTGCGCTCCCTTCTCTTCCCCTCCAGATTAGGCGGAGGCAGATGCTGCCTTTAGGCATGGCTCTTCCCTGCCCCTGGATATGGCCGCGTCCCAGGAGGATTCCTCTGGGAACCCACGGCTGCCAGCGTCCTGCACGTCCCCCATCAGAGCCCGCACCACGCCTGATTAACTTGCTGACCTGTTCCGGACGGGCGGTCCGTAGATGCAGAGATGGGCTTTTCATTGTTCCCACAGAACCTGGAACAGAGCCTGGCACCAAGTAGGCACTGGATGGATGAGGACACTGTCTTGCCCTTTGCAGATGGGGAGGCGCAGGGAGCAGGTGCCCCCTTGTTTTTCCAGCAGAGGGGGTGGGTTTGCTCTGGCCCCTCACGGATAGCACCGCAGCCTATGGCAGCAAAAGCTCCAGTGGACACCACTGCTGACATGCAGATCACCAAACTGGGTCTCTGCCATCAGGAGTGGGCTGAAGGGCTGGGGAGCTCTGGGAGATGTGGCCTTGCAGGGTCCGCTGCAGAAAGCCTCCCCCCCACCCCAGCTGCTCCCACCCTCTCCATGCAGAGGAAGCTGCGGCTGCACCTGGGCTGACGCCTATGTCAGCAGGGCTTTGGTCTGTGCAGGGGAGCCCAGGAGTCCTCGGATTCCCCTGCCTTCCGTAAGGACAACGAGCAGCTCAGTGGGGCTCTGGTTACTCTTCCTCTGTTGCACTCCAGGCCTTCCTAACCTTTAGTGCCAATTCATTTTGCCTCTTAAAGGTACCGTTTCTTCCCTCATTAGTAAATTTGGGGAAACACAGGACACCATGCAATCCCCAGACTCATTGGAGATTTTCTGGAATGTGGAAGCTGACATTTAGGTGAGAGGCATTTGAGGATATTGGAATACCAAATATTCCGGGTCATCCCACAGCAACAAGACCATCTTCAGAAAGTCCCCTTTTCCTGCTGAGAACCGTGAATTAGCTCTCTGCTCACACCCATTGCCCAGGCAGGGCTTTGTGTAATTATGCACAGTCACAACTGGCAGAGGGGCTCCCTGCCCTCCTGGGTGGTCTCGCTCTGGCTCTGTGGCTGGCTCCTCACCGTGACAGCTGTTCTGAGTTGGGGCAGGCTCAGTCTGCTAGCTTCTCAGATGTCCAGCCTCTTTGCAGCATTGGATGTTCCAGTTCCCTGTGAACCTCAACCCCCGTAATTGCTTCTAGCTCTGGCTCCAGGACATGGCTGTCCCGCCACACCCCAGCCCACTGCTTCTCTGCTCTCCTCCCATGGAGGACTTCAGTCTCCAATCAATGGCAACCCTTTTCTTTGATTTACATACGGGCTTGGCTGACTTTAAGAGTTCACATCATTGACAATGAATAACCAAGATGCTCATGGACCTCTGCACTTCAGAAAAGATCCACTTGAAGGGAACTTATCAGCTACCTTTTCTTTACTCTTTAGTCCCATGTCGTTGGTGGTGTGACTTTGGAGGTCATCATGTGGTAGAACAAGTGCTATAGACTGAATGTTTGTGCCCACCCAATTCATGTTAGATCCTAACCCCCAATGTGAGCGTATTGGGAAGTGGGGCCTTTGGGAAGCGAGTAGGTCATGAGGGCAGAGCCCTCAGGAATGGGATTAGTGCCCTTGTAAAAGTCCCTTCTGCCATATGAGGACACAGGGAGAAGAGGCCATCCATGAACCAGGAAGTGGGCCTCATGGACACCAAATCTGCTGGCCTTGATCTTAGACTTCTCAGCCTCCAAAACTGTGAGAAATAAATGTCTGTTGTTTACAAGATACCTAGTTCATAGTATTTTGTTGCAGCAGCCAGAACGGGCTGAAACAAGGGTGGAGAGAAGCACCCTGCATATGCTCCGCCTCAGGTCCTGTGTGATGTGCAACATGCCACGTCTGAGCTTCCTCTCGTTTGGCCTTGGGCTTTGGGAAGGATCACAGTAGCCACCTACCAGTGGCAGCTGCATGGAGAAGGAGGGCCCACTAACGGAGCAAAGGGTTATAATTTGGAGTTTTCAAGATGCGAAGACATATGTTGGTTCCTCACAACTTTGGCAGGCCTGTGTGCTTGGTTCGCCGGTTGGGTGTAGGACCTTATGGAGGTTGGAGATGAGGCAGAACCTGTTCCGGCCTTGGAGTTACTCAAGGTCGCCTGAAGGCTGGTGCTGCAGCCCCCACTTCCGTGTTATGAGCTGGGACAGAGCCCAGGGGCTGCAAGGATGGGGGAGATCCTTTAATTAACAGTCGTCTACTGACACTTTTCTTCTTGATAGCATTTATATCATGTTTGTATTCTTATATTTATATATTTATATTTAATAAATTTATTTCTATATAAATTATTTTGTTTATTATTTACTTATTAAATTATACATGCATTTATATATTTATTTACATATTTATATATTATTTATATAAACCTAATATAAATTAAAAGTAAAATAACAGTACACTGAAACCCCCTGTATTATCGATTAGATTTTTCTATTTTATCATTTTTTGCTGAAGAATTTTGCCGAGGAACATTTTGCTGAAGTAAATCACAGATTTCATGACATTTTACCCTATATTATGCATCTCTATGAAAGGAGATTTTATTACACAGCTACGGCACTTTTATCCAACCTAATAAAATTAACAATAATTCTTTTAATCATATCTAATAGCAAATCTGTATTCAAATTTCCTTGATTGACTTCGAAATGTATTTTTTACAGTTGGTTTGTTTGAACGAGGAGTCAAACAAGGTCCTCACCTTGCGCCTTTTAATCTAGAGCAATCTTCCTTTTTTCTCCATGCCATTGAATGACTAACAAATAATTGGCCTTCTAAAAAAGAATGCTGGCGATATGAATCTGCCCCACGTGTTTCTCAGCCTCATTAAATCTCACGCAGGGCTTCCATTCTACTCCGCTTCCTCGCTCTCCCCGAGGCCACACAGAGTGGTTACAGGCACAGGAAAATGGGAAAAGGGTGTCTAATTTTCACTCCACCGTGGTTGCTGTCCAAGCCTGCCCATCCTTGGAGGTGGCATCTCTTATTCCTGGGCCCACCCATTGGCTGCGGACCTGCCTGGGCTGGGAGCCCCTGCCAGGGTGTGGGAACAGGTCCCTGCTGGGAGCTCCTCCTTCCTCTGAATCGCTCCTAGTTCTCCTCGGGCTGCCTCTTCACAGTCGTCCCTTGAGGTCAGAGAGCACACAGCTTTGGCCACCTGCTGACCACAGTGCGAGGGAAGCTGGAGACCCTGGTGACTTATTCTGCTTATTCAAGAAGCAGCTCATTGGTGGAAAGGGGAAAAGGCGAGACAAAGGTGGCACTCAGACCTCTCCAGAGGGACCCCATGGGCTGGAACTTCATTCATTCATTCATCCATTCATTCACTATTTAGACATTAATCACTACTCCCCTCCATCTTCAAACAGATTTCCACAGATTTCCTAGACTGTCATCTTACTACCAGTTGCCCTGTGCCTCAGCATCCGTATTTG